TTTTAACCACAATTAAAGTAACCTCTTTGACTGTAGTTGTCTTCTTGGCCTTAGGGAGGTGAATAATAAATAAATACTTTAAGTGAATCTAATGATAGCTTGTACGTTTTAGCAATTTTTTTTGTTATTTAGTTTGATGTTTATAAATAGAAAAGTATATGTATTTTTTTTTTAAAGTTAAATGAAAGTGTGTGTGTGTGTGTGTGTGTGTGTGTGTGTGTGTGTGTGTGTGTGTGTGTGTGTGTGTGTGTGTGTGTGGTGTGTGTGTATAAATATATGTATGTGTAAGTATATGTATATTTATATGTAAATATATGTAAGTATATCAAATAATATATATATATATATACACACACAAATATATATAAACATGCACATATATATGTATATATTTACATATATATATATATATATATATATATATATATATATATATATATATAGTATTCTTAATACTGATTACATAGTAGAAAATTAGTACTATTTTTTAATTAACATTTTAAATATAAGAAACTTTTTGTTTCTTATATTTAAAATTTAACCCAAATCCATGGTACAGCTCTGCCATAAGGATTAGTTTTTCAACAATCGTTTGTAATTGTTATTTTTTTAACATAATATGTCTCATATTTAAATATTATTTTACAGCTTAAGGTATAGTTTAGAGTTTAAGTTGCAGTTATAGTGTAATAAGCAAGTTATGATGTAATGACCAAGTAAATAATTTAATTCTATTACAATATTACTCTTAGTAATTGTTTTTATTTAACTTGATACTTAAAAAAGTAAAAGTAAAAACGCAAATATTTCAACCACTTTAATTAGTTGTAGAAAACTATTTAATATATTGCTGGCGGTAAAAACACCTGTTATTTTTAAAGAGTATTTAATTGTTATTATAAAAAGCTATGAAACAACAAAACAAACTGCAAAGTTGTTGCAAAGAGCTTGTGTTAATATAAAACAACTTCGTGGCGCTGTTCGTGTTGCTGTTTTTTAAAGTTAATTTTTTATAACATTAATAACATAAAACACATTTAAAATAAAATGAATTAAATAAATAGTAATGAATTAAATAATTTTTAATTAAAAAAAAATGCTCAAGCATGCATCCGTAGACCAAATGATTAAGGCAAAAAAAACATTAGATACCATGTTTTTTATAATTTATTACTATTACTTTTAAAATCTAAGCATAATAAACGTAACTATTAAAAATCCAAGTGTAAATAATTTTTTCATTCAAATGGTTTTTAAGTTAATGTTTTCATTTAATTTTTTCCTTCAATTTGTTTTGTTACAAAAAGTAAAAAAAAAAATTGTTTTAATAAATCGATTTCGATATTTCCTTAAGCTTAAGTACATGCTTTATTTATTTTTTTGGAAAAAAATTTCCTTGAACATAAGTAAAGTAATTTATTTTTTTATTTAAGTTTTTTATAAATTAATTTTTGGTTTAATGTTTGCAGTAGAGTGTTTCTACTTTAAAAACTATTTTCAAGAAACAAATAAAAAATTTACTATTCAAACTGTTTACAATTTAAATTTAGTTTTCTTCCCCACTTACACTATGTTCTAAATCTTGTATTGTTACTGTAGCTAGATATAGGTTTAACTTTCAGGAATGACTTTCGGTATGCCACTGGGTATTACGGACACCGCTGCAATAAAATTTATATTCATTGAACGTTATAATTTTTTAAATTTTTCCTTTCTTTTTTTTCTTTTTTTTTTTTTTTATTTAATTTTAAATTTTAATTGCAAAAATATTTGAATGAGAGAACTTTAGAATACTTTTTTTTAGAAGAATTCTATGGTTCAAATAGATTTCGTTTTGAAAAAATTCCTAAAAACAACTTGTGTATTTATAGAAAATGTTTCATCTTGATATTGCTTTAAATAAAATTTAAATATAAAAAAAATGGTATATCCTTTTTCATATTTTATTCAAGATTTTTTGTTAAAATAATTTTTAGTTAGAAGCATATATTATGTGTTAACAACATATAAGATATATATTCGAAACATTTGTATGGCTAACTTTTGCGAGTCTTTGAGTATATTAAGTAAATTAATATAGTTGATAAGTTAATATTTTAGTAACTGTAAGTTACTGGTTGTTTTGATTTAGTTTATTCGTAAATTTACTGTGATGTTCTTTATTCATTATTTTATTCATTCAGTAAATCAAAGTAAATAGAACTTTAAAAGGTCAGGGTTGTTAAAGTGAAAAATGTTGAAGCAAAAAAGTTACTGGTTTCTATTAGCATTGCTAAGCTATTAGAAATTTTTTTAAATAAAAACAAATTTAATATTTATTTTTATATACTTAAAGTAGTAAAACTAATAATATGAAATTGTCAATAAATAATTATTTAAATTATTAATAAATTTATTTGGTGCAACGTTTTAAAAACAAAGATAAAAATGTTTTAAAAACAAAGATAAAAAACCAGGCTGTTTAGTTAAAAAAAAGAATGAAGAAAAAAATTGCTTTGTCTTTTCCCTTTAAAACTTTTCACTTTAACGACCTTTTAAATTTTTATTGACATCCACGCAGAGATTTCAAGTAATTTAAATTCAAATGTCCTTTACATTGAATGAAAATCTCTGTGCAAAAGATCAAATGATCATGGTTCAAAAGATATTTATTCAAAAGATTTAGTGTGACGTAGTTTATGAACCCTAATAAAAAAACCCTAAGACAAAAACATTTAAGAATTAAAAAATATATTAATGGTTGGGTCCAGAGGTTCAAAAATGAAATAAATTTTAATCTGTATACATATAGTGAGGGGCAGTCAAAAATATTTTTAAAGTACTTTAAATATTTTTTCTTTGTACCATTTTATATTTGCTTTTAGAATGTGGTTGTTTTTTTGCGCATAATGACAGCATTGGCTTCACTATTTTTATTATAGATTCTGGCTGTTGGAAAGAGCTTTAAAAGTCCACAAGTACATTTAAAAGTCCCTGTATAAGTACATTTACCATGGAAATTATTACTTTACTAGAAAATCTACATTATCTTTAAAAAAAGTGCAATTTCCAACAACTTTTTTTTTTGCTAGAATTCGTTCAAAAATGTAAGCCAAAAATTTTGTAGAACGTAATAAACAACAAATCAAAGGGAATTATCAGGTATTTTAGAAAATAATAAAAGTGTTATAATGACAATAGTGCTTTTTAAATAATAGTGTTATAATGACAATAGTGCTTTTTAAATAATAGTGTTATAATGACAATAGTGCTTTTTAAATAATAGTGTTATAATGACAATAGTGCTTTTTAAATAATAGTGTTATAATGACAATAATGCTTTTTAAATAATAGTGTTATAATGACAATAGTGCTTTTTAAATAATAGTGTTATAATGACAATAGTGCTTTTTAAATAATAGTGTTATAATGACAATAATGCTTTTTAAGAAAATTAAATCTTATGCTAATCTTATACTCTTTTTGTTCTAAAAATAATGGAAAAGACTTATCTGCTATAGCATCACTTTTAAAATAAGTGCAGTACTGCAGAGTAAATTTTGTTAATGTTAGGTTCGATAATACATTGTGTATTTATTCAACTTAACATTAACAAATCTTATCCATCTTTGCTTTTTGTTAATGTAAACCATTTAATGGCTTCAACTGTGTTTTTCCATTGGTTTGATTTTAATTTGAAGTAAATTGAAACATTCAAAAAATTGAATTCTAAATAGAAATCCAAACCAACCTGAAGAGTGGTAATTTTCTAGACATAACTTTTAATCTTCTAAAAAACTCTTATCAATCTTTTAAAAAGCTGAATGTTAAGTTACTATACATTCACATTGAATAAAACCACCTTACTTAAACAAGTAGTACTTAAAAAAAATCCCATTATATTATATTTACTTATATAAATCTCCATTAATAATAGGCTATCCCTATTTAGAAAAAGAATACATACCAACATGTTTACCAAGATATAATTTCTTCACATCTTCAGTTAGTTACAGCTGCTTGAACAATATTAAAAAAAGATAAATTTAAAAAGCATGCCCAATCTGCCCATTGAATAAAAATTGTAGAAATACAATTTACAAATGCACATGATGCTCCCTAAACACACCAAGTAAAGTACACATTGGTTTTTCAGAGGGTGTATGAGAAAGGAGATAGGTATATCATAATCATTTAATAGCAAAAACTTTTCAAATGCAACCACGCTCTCCAAATATTTATGGGGTAGCAAAAGAAAAATGATCTTTTTAAAAAATACCCCTAACCATCCTAAAAAATACCCCTACCTACAACAACAAAAAAATGCTTACTCTTTATGAAAAAACTACTTTACTCTATAAAAACATAATGAGCATTCTATGAGATGCATTAGAACATAATGAGAATTCTATGGAAATGGCTATAGTAAAGTATGATATTGTGCTCATTTGCATGTTATGATGCAAATCTAGAATAGCCTTAGACAGATTGCTACCACTGTGCTACTATGAGGTAATTGTATAAAAGAAAAATGTATAAGTATTAATTGTGTATAAACTTTAATCTTGCTTTCTAAAGTAGACAAGTTTTTTGATATTTTAGTGTCAGACATGTTTTTGATATCTTGTGTCAGTGAATTTTATGATGAAAATGTATATGTAATATATGCGCATACACAAATAAGGATTAAATTTTGATAAGTAAATACCAAACATTACTCTTATCCAGTGCTAAAAAGCAAACCATATTTTAAAAACAAAAAATTTTGTTATAGTATTTTAAAAATATTTATTGTACTGTACCTCTATATGTATACAAAATTTAATATTTTATTATTTTTGAATACTGAGACAAGTCATAGGAGTAAATGTTATATTTTTTAAATATATTTTCTGAAATAGTATTTTAAAAGGCGCTCAATAATTCATTTCTTTTTAAAAAAATAATTTATAAAAATAACTTATAAAAATAGCTTACATTTTTTATTTCCCATATATAAACAATTTTTTTATGTTTTACAGACATGTAAGTTTTACTTGGCTGGTTCATGTTTTTATGGTAATAAATGTCGTTATGACCATGCAAAGCGGCTCTCAGTTTTGAAGCCTGCACGTGTTACTGCAGCTGTGGTAAGATTTTTTTTTTAATTTTTGTTTTTTAATGATCATCATCAATCACAAAAATCAAAAATTTTTGAATACCAGAGTATTCTACATAACAGGTCTCTTGTGAAAACAAAATGTTTATACAAATAATCTGCTTAATTAAAATGTTTAGCAGCAACAGTTACTAACCAACAAACAAAAAAACATATGTTTAAAAATGATCTTTTAATACTATAACCTTAAGAAATCATCAGGAAAAAAATTTGTAAATAGGCTCCATTTTAAAGTTGACTCAAGTTCGAAATATATTTTATTTGGTTATCCTGTAAAATATATTTTTATTCATTTCTAATTTAATTAATTTTAGTTATATAATTTTATTAGTCCGCACCAACTACATTAACAGTATTAAAAGCAAAGAAATTTGTTTCACCTGACTCAAATATGCCAGTTGATGCACCAGTATTTATTCCAGTAAGTTATTTGCAAAAAAAAAATGATATGGTTGAAAGTTATTGTTTAATATTTTACATAGTTTATATTTTAGTTTACATTCTTATTATACACACAAAATATATATTTTAAATTTAAATTTTTAAAAATTACATTTTTTTCAAATCTACTAATAGGGTAATAAAGCCCATATTGGAAAAGTTGGTGATTTTAGCACAGATATTTCTAAAGATTTAAAGGTATATATACAAGGTTTTGTCAGTATGCAACATAAGTTCTCTATTTTCATACATTTGTATTCATATTAAGTTTTATAATGTGCAAATAATAAACTAAAAAAAATGTTTTATTTCAATAAAAAAACTTTTATTGAAATTAAATACTGTTCAACAAATATTCAAATGTTGGTATTTTTTCATAAATACTTTTCAATAAATATTCAAATGTTGGTATTTTTTCATAAATAAAATGTACAATAGGAATTCATGAGGAAATCAATTAAGATGTTTTGTGAAAAGCCACAAAAAATCATTTTTCATAGATTTTAGTCTTTGTTATTAATTTATTATTTATTTATTTTTTATTATTTATTTTTTTTGTATATCTATATCACATTTGAGTATAATCGTATTGGCTTAACTATTAAGGGAAGACAAAGTAAGTACACATAATTTGGTTGCTTAGTTAATGCTTTGGAAATTCCTGCCCATGTTTTCTTGACTCGTGCAGTTTACAGTTTTTAAGTTTTCGTTCAACTGTTTTTTTGTTGCTATTGTTTTTTTTTTTAATTTTATTGCACTTTTTACTTTCTTTTAGCTTTTTACTAAGGAGAAATTAAGATTTCTATCTAGTGTTTGTATGTAGTTTTTCATCTATATTTATTAAAATGTTTTTAGGTAGATTGTTTGCATCTATCTTACTCTTCAATTGTTTCATTTAACCTTCATTCTGAAAATGATAATGGAACATCTTATAAAGGTGACAACAAAGAGTTAGTGAGTGATTATTTAAGTTAGAATTAACTTGTTTGATTTTAACAAGTCTTGAGTTAAAATGAATTTAACTTGTTTGATTTTAACATTTAAGTGGAGTTTCTAAGCTTAATAAAATATTCCTTTATTGAAAAGAAGTATCAAAAAAATGTTTTTAATAAGTAAAAAAAATTTTTCAAGTCACACTTGCAAAAGTATTTTTGAATACAAATTTTGTTAATATGACTAAAAAAATTTGTATTAAAAAATAATCTTTTTCATACAAAATATTTGCCTAAAGGTTCATTTACTAAGTTATTTCAAAATATTTTTCATACAAAATATTTGCCCAAAGGTTCATTTACTAAGTCATTTCAAAATATTTTTTATACAAAATATTTGCCCAAAGGTTCATTTACTAAGTTATTTCAAAATATTTTTCATACAAAATATTTTCCCAAAGGTTCATTTACTAAGTTATTTCAAAATATGTCAAGTTGTATCATAAAAAGCAGTCAAAACATCATTGCAAAAAATTTGCGGTAGTGGTGTAGTGTTTCAAACTTATAGAGTTGAGAGAGGGTTATAACCACAATTAAGTACCCTCCTTGTCTGTAGTGGTCTTCTCGACCTTGTGGAGGTGAAAATTAAAGCATACACATTTTTTTCCTCTTTTTATTTTTGTCACTCTTGCAATAGTACCAATAGCTGGACATTATTTGCTTTGTTAAATAATTTTTTTAGTTATCATAACCTCTAGCTTTCTTATCTTTTACATGTTTCAAAAGTATGTGATTATTAGAAATGTCTTATTTAGGCAGAAATCAATCATCACTAATAAATGTTTCAATAGTTAATGTGCTATAGAAAACTTGTTAGAAAACAATTTTTTATGATTGATATAAAAAGTTTATCTATTTTTGATAAAAAAATATTTGATTTTATATTAATAATATGGTTGATGATAGTTACTATGTTAATAAAATACTAGTTATCAATCTATCATTTTTGTTTAATTGATAACCAGTATTTCTATAAACAAAATGTCTATATTGTCCTAAATAGAAATGTTTAATACTTATACACTTTACAGTTTACTTTGACTGACTGTTTTTATATGTCATTTTTCATGTTTTTTCTTTAGCTATGTCCTTTTGCTGCTGTGAGGGAATGCCCTTTTGGAGATAAGTAAGTATTTTGACAGTAGAATTACTTTTGTAATATAATAAAGTAGTTTTTAATTGTTCAAATAAAATTTCTCAAATATCTAATTTGATAAGTGTACTGGGTCAATTATTATTGTTTATTATTTTTATCGATTTTTCTCTAAAACCTCTAATTTTTTTTAATTTAAATAGTTTAAATTTTTAATAATTTTTTGTAATTTAAGATTTTAACACAACTAACCTGTAATTAAACTGACCTATATACAAAAGTTTAGTGTTAAGGAGAGGGATGTAGCAAAGTCTTTTTTCGTCATATGACTTCAAACCATCAATTGAAATCTTGAATAAACTTGATATTCTCAGCACAGTCATTACAAAATGACTGACACATTTAGAGAACAAAGTGAAAGACTGGGGAACTTTCTTCATTTTATTAGTCTTTTGAAACTTTTTTTTTTTTCAGAACAGAAGGCTTACTTTCAGATTTCTCAAGAAGTTTTTTTTTTTTTTTTTATTTTAAGAAAAGGTAATATTATTTATTTACCAAGTCCATCAGTTTTGAGGAAAATTTTTACCTTAATGTTTGTCATATATTAATCGTATTTGTCAAGACACAAACTTGTTTACTATCTTAGTTTTATTTTGAACTGGTTTTAATTTAGTTTTCTATCAGCAAAAATGTTTGTATTGCAGTAATCTCTTTAAAATTGTCTACAGTTTATAAAGAAAAAACAATTCTTAATGCCATTAAATCATTTATGAAAGCTTTTAAAAAATTTGAATTTTCAAAAATAAGAGGCCATGAAGAAATGCAATACAGCTGGGTGCAGTTTCTTTTTTATATTTATTTATTTTTTAACTGTCTTAGAATTAATATAGTAATATATTTGAATAATCTGTATCAAAGTCATAAGTCATCCTTCAAAAACTGGTTGTCAACCATAAATCTAGCTTCATGATTAGCTCTAGGCTCCAGTTGATTTTCAAAATATTGAAGTTTCTTGACTTTCTTGTAAAACTGACCAAAGTTTTAGACAATTATATTAAAAAATGTTGTTTAGACTTGGATTGACATGACATATATTATGTGCTTTTCATAGTTAGTTATACATTAATAAAATAGCAGTTTTTTATTAGTATTATGGTTAATGTGTAATATAAAAATGCTAATGGTATATTATGTAATGGTATATTATGTAATGCTAATGGTATATTTTGGTCTTTTATGTCTTTAATACTATTCTTCTGTTCTATTTAATACTATTCTTAAAGGGATCCCTAAGTGCTATAAAGATACGATCTCATATGAAAGAGCATTTAAAAAAAAAATGTTTGATGGATATTATTTTTTCTAAAACATAATAATGAACACACACTAGCAAATTTAGTTTTCAAATAAATGCTTTTCTACGATTAAAAAAAATGCGTTTTGTTTAAAGTTTATTGACTCTACTGCCTCAAAAAACTAGCGTTTGTACCTCAAATTAAACAAAGTAGACAAAATGTCATTATTGCAAACGTATTAGTTGATAATTAAATTTAAAAGTAAAGTCATTTTTTTTTTCAACCAACACATAATTACTTACAAGAATAAGTTTTGTAGCATTTTGTGAAAATATATTTTTATATTAAAATTTTTTTTATAATATTAATTTATATATTTGTGTTATAAGGGCAATTCCACGGCCAAAAATGAATAGAAGTCAAATTTTAAACTCTTTTTAGTCAGTTTTTAACAAATAAATATTGATGTAGACACATAAAAGTTTATTTAAAATATTTCCTTTTAAATTTATTTCAGTCATTTTTATGGTTTTAAAAGTGACGGTTACTCTCATTTTTGCTTGATAAAAAAAAATTATTATTGTAAAATGTTTTAGTTAAATTAACAATTATGTTAATTTTGTTATGATTTTTTGGTTCAAATTGATAAGGTTGAATAGACATTTTACTAGAAATTAAACTAAGACAGGGCTCGAACTAACGCAAAAAAAATCTAATCGCGAAAAAAAATTTTTTTTTTTTTTTGCTCTTCCACCCCCTCCCCCTCTTTTTCTCTCTTATAGCTCGCGCCAATGTGCGGTAATAGGGGGGAAAAAATTATCGTCAATAAATCAAAAAACATTGTCAAAAACTTAATAAAAAATTAGATACCACATTTTTTATAACTTATTGTTTCTTGAATAAAGGACTAATAAAAGTTTAAATATAATTAAGTTTTTCATTTAAATGGTTGATGTTTTTATTCAATTTTTCTATTTTGAGTTTTTTAATAAAAGATGAAACAAAAAAATTTGGTTTATTAAATCAAATTATACTTCATGTTTAAAATAAGGCTTTAAAAAGTTAAAGTAAAAAAATTGCTGGTTTTTATTATCATTTTTATACTGTTTGAAAAAAAAAACTAATAAAAAAGAATTAACTAATAATATATTAATTAATAATTATTATAATTAATAATAATAATAATTAATTCTTTTTTATTAGTTTTTTTTTTTTTCAAACAGTATAAAAATGCAAATAAAAGTCAGTAATTTTTTTGCTCTAACGTTTTTAAGCCTTATTTTAAACATGAAGTTTTGATAAACAAAAATAAAAACCAACTTTTTGACTTTTTGCTTTAATGACCTTGTAAAAATATTCCACGCAGAGATTTAAAGTAATTTAAATTCAAAAATGTTTTACGTTGAAAGAAAATCTCCGCGCGAAAGAGCAAATCTCATTCATCATATCTAATAATAAATTTATTCATCTATCTAATAATAAATTTTGTGTGACGTTCTTTATGATAAAAACATTACTTTTAAGAATTGCTAAAAAAATGCTAAGCTAGAAAAAGAGTTATTAAACAACCAAAAAAAAAAAAAAAAAATCGCAAAAAGATTTTTTTTTAAGAAAAAACTAATCACGAAAGTGTGAAAAGCAATCGCGATTGCGATACACTTAATACGAGCCCTGTAAGACTTTATTATAAGTTCTAAACTATTTAAAACTATTACTTAATAACTTTTTTTTAACGACGTCTTTCAACCAAATTCTATTACACTGTTTTTGCAAAACTAATTAAAAAAACTTAATTAAAACTTAACTATTTAATCACGATTTTTTTTTACTTGAAAATCGAAGTAGATATTCTAAAGTTGTTGTGATGTACTAACGTGATTTTTAATGATTAACAATCGAGTTTCAATGGTAAAAAAATAAAATTGAAATGGAGTTGGTTTTCAGTGATTTCTGCAATTACTTTTTGTTAGCATGCATTTATTATTACAATTTAGTGAAAAAGAAAAAAAATTAACATAATTTTTTTATGCTCTTTCATATAAGATCATATGTTAGGAGCACTTAGGGATCCCTTTAATTCTTAATTTCTTTGTGCAGATGCTTTGTTTGTCAAGGTTTATGTTTCAGAGGATGATTGTTAAAAATATGAGTAGATGATTTATATATTTTTTTTTAGATGTGAATACATGCATGGTGATCTTTGCGAGATGTGTGGGTTTCAGTGCTTGCATCCAAAAGATGAAAATCAGCGTAAAGGTTAAAATAAAAAAATTCTTCTATTTTTTCATTTTTTGTTATATTAAAAAAAAGGGGTTTTCTTTTTAAAAGTACTTAAAATTATCCTTTAGAGCATGTAAAATTTTGCGTTGCAAAACATGAGTGCGAGATGGAGATAGCTTTTGCAGCTCAAAGGTAATTAGTTCAAAATATTATTCTTGTTAGTTTTACATATACATATCCATATTCTTGTGTGGATAAAATTTAAAAAACATTAAAAAATACAGTTTTTGAAAGTTAATTTAGTGATAATACCTAATCTGCGAAGTGGATTAAATTATAAGGGATCTGTTAAACCTAGTTTTTGTGATGCGTATGTTTAGATACAGCATATATTATAAATACAATAAAATTAAAAAAATTTTATTTATGTCTATTTAAAGAAAATTTTTTTAATCTTATATTAAATATTTTAGTTTACAAATATATTACAATAAAAAATAATATTTTTAGATCAGATTATTTTTGTTTAGAAAGTATCCTGGCTTCTTATTTTCTTTTATTTTTATTAATGATTTTTTAATTATTAGAAGCCAAGATGTGGCGTGCTGTATATGTCTGGATATTGTTAAGAAAAAAGCCTCTCCAAATGAATCTGTATTTGGACTTTTAGGTAAGTTTTTTATTTTAATTTTATCAGCTAAATGCACATATAAATGTGTACTGCAACATCCTAACATTAAGGTATTGTTAGAATTTTTTTCAAATATAATTGATGTTTTGTATTTATCTTTATAGGAGCAAACATCTTTTTTAAGTTAAGTTTATCTATTTTTCTCTATTTTACTCCTAGAGAAATTACTTTATTTATAATATCCTTTTAAATTTTAAAGGTGCTTTTAGAGGGGTTTTCTATAACTCTAAATTTTGAAATTTTTTTCTACTTTTATAAAATCTTTTTTATCACAGTTTTGATATATATATATATATATATATATATATATATATATATATATATATATATATATATATATATATATATATATATATATATATATATATATATATTATATATATATATATATATATATATATATATATATATATATATATATATATATATATATAAAGTATAATAAAATAGAAAAATACAACTTTATAATGGAACTAAAAGTTTCATACCTATCGGCAATCTTCAGCCATATATATTATACAAATCAAGAAAAAAAACTTAAAAAATACAAAATACAAAAACAGCAGTAGAATGAGTTCCAACATCAAATAAAAACGAATAAAAAAGAAGCATAGTAGTAAAACTGCTAATCGCCAGTGTCAAAATGGGCAAGAAAAAATTTGTTTTTATGCCGGTACTTAAATAATATTTCACTCTTTTTTAAGAAATTTGGGTGTTTAAAAAATAAAATTTCGTACTTTTTGTTGATGCATAAGTTACATCGTTTTGTTATAGGGTTATAGGCATCGCACTGTTTAATTATTTTTCACCTAACAACCGGGTTCGAGTTTTCATCTTTTAATCTCCAAACCTCCTTCGATAATTCAGTATCATTTTTGTATTTGGGAATTTTAAAAGATTTTATGTGATTAGCATATCTAATTTTAAATGATGTTTCGCTTATGCCTATGTAAAATTTATTGATGGGAGTTTGAACAAGATCGTTGGAACATACATTAGCTTGATATACTATATTTTTTATTAAGCATTGGTTTGATAAAGGGCAGGTGTTTTTATCTATGCAATTGCAATTATTTTCAGCTGATTCTTTCTTGTTGTTTATAACATGGCGATTGTGGGCGTTTAAAACGGATTTCATATTCGGCATACAGCTATAACTTACTTTTAATGTGTTTCTGTTAAAAATTTTGTGGAACTTGTGATTTATAAGGAAGTGCTTATCAAATAATGTTAAAAATATTTTTGTGCTAACGTTTTTGCTAAAAGGGGGGTTGAACTAAATGATGTTACGTTTACAGTTCTTGGTGTGAGATAATTCTAAGATAGGTTGGTAAGAAAGATTGTAATTAAAACCAGACTTTTTTAATGCTTCATTATACATAGGAGTGGATTTTTGAAAGATTTCCTTGCTTGACAAATTTGCTGATAATCTTAATTCAATAGAATGCGGCAGTTGCTTTAAAATACTGTATGGATGGTTTGATTCAGCATGAATGTAATTTAAAGAGTTTCAGGGTTTAGAGTAAGGTTGGAAGGTGTGGTTGTTGAGGTTTAATGTAATGTCCAGATAATTTACAATTTTTATGTTGCACTGTGTTGATATCAGAAAATCGTTCAATTTAAATATTTTAACAACATGCTTTTTAATTTTTTCCATATGGGGACCACTGATGTTTTTAAAAATCGCCAAACCGTCATCACGGTATAACCCGAAATCAATCTTATTATAAAACTGCGTAATCTGAAATAGAAGAAAAATCCCCACAAGTTCACACACCTCGGCGCCATCAAAAGCTCCCATTGAAACATCTAATAATCCACTTGACTTCTTTAATCCAAACTTGATTGCTATCAAAACAACAGTGACTTTCTGGTGTGGTAAATAATCAACTTTTGCTCAGGATCTATAACCAGACGCTGCTCAGCAAAACTAATAGCATTTTTAAGTAGTTTTTCACTTATTGAGGGATAAAAATCAACGATATCAAAAATGAGAAATTTATAAAGATTTAGATCACTGATGGACTTGAACCAGCATATAACATCTTGTGTTTTTTTCCACTGATTGAGATGGAGTCTTTTTACAAGTTCAGAATTTATGTTTGAAAGAATAACTTTACTAATTCTGCCGATTTCATTTTTGGCAGGGTTTAATAATTGAACTGTTGGATTGTTTGCAAAATTTTCTTTGTGGTCTTTTAATGTTATAAAGCAGTTAGATGATGTATTGATATCGATTTTAGTAAAAATGTCATGATTCTGTAAAATGCGTTTACCTTCTTTATTTATATCATTTTTTACTTTTGGATCCGATTTTTTGTAAGTTGAAGTTACGGCATTGGTTAATAAATTGTAGTCTTGTTTAGATAAGTATATAACTTAATTAGATGTTTTATCTGCAAAAGTGTAGGTAAGATTACAATTGCGTATATTAGATATATCTTCTTTTAATTTTTTCTGGAATCTGCTATAAACTTTACAAAATTTTATGTTTTTTATTAATTCTATTAATTCGCTTTTAAATGCACACATATCAGTAATTTGTTTAGGGTAATTGTGTAATTAAATGTTTTTATTCCATATTTATTATGGTAAAAGATATTGTTCTTACTATTCTGATCATTAATAAAGAAAAACGCTTTCCACCTAAAGCTGCCGGTGACCAAACTACCAGTTATTTTACGGAAAAACCCATCGCATGTAAACAGAAGTTTCCATCGATAAACTGGATTTTTCCATTGAAATAAGATGGTTTTTTTAAGTTAAACAATAGGTAGTTTGGTCATCGGCAGCTGCCGGAACTTTTCCGTAAATAAATGAATACTTCCGTTTAAATTAAACAAGTTTTTCCCGTTAAACTATGGAAAGGTTGCAGCAACTCAGCTGCCGGATAGTTTCCGTAAATAAAAGTAATGTTACAGTTTATATTCTTTTTATATGAAAATTTAAACAAATTATTTCTAGCAAATATATATATAAAATCGATTGTATGTTTTTGAAAATATTTTCTGAAAACAATTTTTTTTTTTTTTTGATTTACATAAAAAATATTAAAATTTACATTTCATTCCAACAGCAAGTACATGAATAAAATATTAAAATTTACATTTCATTCCAACAGCAAGTACACA